AAACTTTTCCGTGATAGCGACGAAAATGTGAAAAAGCTAATTCTTATAGGAGAGCGTTTCCAGAAAGGACTATAATGAGAAACTGAAATGCAAGGTTGTGTAATGGATGTTAAAGTTCAGAATGTTCCCCTCGATAGCGTACATTAATATTTTTTACATGCTTTTTGTCATTTTCATTAACTTTTTTCCTTGATCTTAAATCGGGGTGTTGAAATTTGACTCGTGGCTCCGGTCTTGCCACCATATGTTCTGCGTTCATTCAAAATCATGGGTTCCTTTTTGTGTAATGGCATATCCATTGATTGAAATAGGCCATTCTACTTATGTCTCCATTCTTCGGTCCTATGCATTTTTTGAAAGAAGTTATTGGCCTAATAGATAGCGAATGCCCCAACTTCCTTTTTCCATGTTGTGGCCCCATGAAGCAGGGTTCCATGGAAGCAGGATCCCAAATGAGATTTGTATTCTTACTAGTTCAGAAAATTTTCGAAAAAACCTGAGGCAATGCGAGAATCTGTTCTATTTTTCTTTTTTACCTCTGAAGACTTTCGTTTTTCTGAGGATTTTAACACGAATTTTAGTGGGACCCAATTTTGCTGAATTCCTGAACCTTTATCAGTATTGTCTCAATTCATTCAGTATAATAGGTTTTTCAATTTCACAGTAATATGAACATCTTCATTGTTATCGATCTCAAAATTTCATAAATATATGCCCATTATAAACGTTGTTTTCCAGCCTTTTAAATTATCTCTGATGTTTTTAACGGTTTCTAAAAATAAATGCGATAATAAAGAGGCAGACAAACGTATTATGGCAATTTATGATAAACGGCTTTGATGGATTGTTCCAGAAAAAAAAATTTATTTCGATTTTACTGGTTGAGTTATTCAATTGAGACTTGCGCTATAAATGGTAACAGTAGTGTCATGGTTCTTCTTCGGAAAGATGATTGACAGTCAAGTCTATATAATTGAATAAGGGATTATACTCATTCAATTGAGGCATTTCTATTTTTAACTCTTGATTAGAAATTTCAATTACTGTGATCCTGTTTTGAGCCTTTAATTGTGAAGAGAATCCGAAAGAGATTTGGTAACGTAGAGTTTGACGCTTGTCTAGCAGATTTGAATATATAGGGAGGGGTGGATATAACATCTTTGTAGGCCCTATTTTTGATTGACCGTTTCTAGGGCCCAGACAGTTTTTCGAATAGTTCCCCGTAAAACTTGTTCCGCTACTGTCCTAGCTGTACACTGATCCTTTATTCTGAAAAAAAAANNAAAAAAAAACTTCAGAAGAAAGGCAAAGAAAATGGAGAAATGAGGAAATGAACGAATGGATAATTCTTACTGATATGTATATCGCAGTCTCATCGGTATTTCTACTTGTTTGTATTATAATTCGAGACTTTTGCAAGTATTGGAGATTTTTTTTCAGCATTATGGAATGCCGGTACGTCGAAAGCATGTGTACAGTCCCGAAGTCAATCTTGGCGAGCTTCTTATGCGGTTTTTCGAGGTCTATGCTCAGGTCTGTTTGTGCTTTAAAACATACTGACTTTTTCTGGCCGTCTTGTTGATATTTTTGTTCCTGTTATGAAGTATTAAGCTTTACGACGAAGCAGGTCGTTGATTCCAGTATTTCTTAAATCCAGTTCATAACGATCTTACTATGCAAGATGAGAGTTCATGGAATCAGTGGCTGATAATATTAATTAGTTGATGGTTTCCTCACTTTGTGGATCCGGAGATATTTATGCAATGACATAATGGAACTGATCGTCTTAGCATGAAATTCAGACGAGCGAGCCCTCTGTTCTTACCATGACCTTGTGGTGATATATAAAATACAACAGACCTAGAAATTCACGAGAAACTTGTTTCCTCTGGAATAAAATATTAGGTTGGCAAATAAGTCCTGCGACAAAATGGAGACCTTTTTTTGAATCATTTCTGAATTTTTCATATCGATCGATTTTCGAAAAAATAATTACTGAAGAAGTCAACCACTTTCTTTTATCTTTTAGGCCAATATGTAACTGATGCCATCTCTTTAGGAGTGAGGGAGCTGTGACTCAGAAAAGTAATTGACTGCTGTTTTTGGATCACATTAAGTTACCAATTTCTTTTCCACAACGGGATGCTCAAAAAGGCGGAGCACCTGGTAGTTAAAAGGGGGAACACTCCGGGAGTATGACTGATGAGTAACCTGGAACCAAGCGGGATCGGTGAACTTTTGACGTGGGTCTCAAGTTTTCGACGTGCGTTGTTCCTCTGTAAGGACCTGAATTACGGTTTGATCGTCCTTCTCTAACCCCGCTGACCNAATAAAGGGGATCATAGGGGTAATCGATAGCTGTGTCCATCTAGTCTGCGTTTAGCAACTCATAGTGGATGGACTCCTTCAGCCTCCATTAAATTAAGGGACGATGCTTGCGTTACTTCGAAGACTAGTATCTCCTGCAGTGAAGCGATCCAACCGATTGTTGACCGTCGATCGGTGAGCAGTGCTAGCATCGAATAGATTGCTGATATTTCGAGCCGCTAAACTCGCGTTTTTTCGTTGGCGTGCTTAGTAGAAAATGATGGCACGAATGGGTGTTGTCCATTTATTGACCGTAATGCTGCGAAAGCCTACAAGCGTGCCCTTATTCACTCATGCGTTGATTCCCCGGGGAACGTCCTACTAGTTCATCACCCTTGCTACCGTGTTCTTACTGTTGATACAAATTTTCAACGCTTCGAATTTTTGGTCGCAGGACTTATTTGCCAGCCTAATAATTCTATCGTAATTATATCCTAGTCCCTCCTAGATGAAAACTCTTGAGCTAACTGGAGCGTCATACCTGCGTTCTTACCAGCCGTTGAAAGCTGAATCACAGTCGGCTGCTCGGACTATACGGGTGCCTACCCACCCGAATTTTTTGGGCAGTTCCTTACGAATTTATTGGCCCATGTTTTCTCATTACGTTTACATTTCTTCTTCCTTCAGCGTCACTTGGACCTCAGCTGAAGTTTCAGTATCGTTAGGCCACGATGTTACTGGCCTCTCAACGTCCGCTTTAGATCGACGAGGGTTTCTCGAAATGGTGTGAGACAAGGGCCATGTTCTCATCGAGACTTCCTTTCTTCGTTTTATTCATCACTGGTGGAACCTATTTAGGGAAAGTGAAAGTGTATGACGTTTCCAATTTGTTCCAGGTAGCGGATGGTTGCTTTTTGGGTGATGCGCAACTTCGTTACGACCTCTTGAGTGAAGAAGGCTTCTTTGTTAGAACTTAGGCCTTACTTGGAAAAATAAGTCGACAGTCATAATTGAATGAGTGTGACTCTATTCTTCTTGTGGAACGATGTAATTGGAGAAGCAGTCGCGTTTCGGTTTCAATGAACCTTCATAAGAATGCCGGCTGTCCCCAGTCGTTGAAATGAGGACGATTCAACGGGTTCAAGTAGACGTTTAGGCATTAACACGGTCTTTTGGAGGTATCTGAAGATTGTGGCCGGTGTAATGGGCATCCTGAACTAATCGTAAGTACATAGAGTCAAAATGATACTCGCGACGATGAACCTTCAATGGTTAGTTTCTGTCCTGCTGTTCCACCTTATGGCTTGTTACCGATTTATTAGTTGGGGGTGGAGGGTTATCATTCTGGTCGGCGTAGTGTATAGATCCCCTGACAGTGACAGTGACAGTATAGAGTTGACAGTGCGATCCGTTGGAATCATGATCAAGTGCCTCTTGATGTCTCTCAAGTGCCACTCTGATGTGAATGAGCTCGTCGAAACGATGTCTGATTGTTGAAGATGTCCCACTCCCATTCGTACTTTGAGGTCATGTCACATGTGAAAGTGGGAGCCTACAAGGGGTGAAGGTGGCTGTTTATAGTTCATAAGGTGTGGCTGAGCCGATTATTAACCCAAGAGGCGGAAATTCTTACAATTAGGATGCTGGTCAAGCAGAGGTGGGAAGGTGAGGGAAGGGTGGAACTAGGTCTATTTTTCACCTACTTGAAGCTAAAAATTACTGAGCTCTTCACCTTCTCCAGAATACAGTCAAGTACTGAGCAAGCGGCGTCGCTCTGTAATTTTAGGCTCAATCTGAGCTTGGACTTCCTGAGCTTCCAAATATCACCGTATCTCAAAAACAAAGTCTCTAGTATTCCAGGGAGGCTAGTGGTGATCGTTTTTCAGCTTAGCTTACCATTTACGGTGCTCCTAGAGGAAACTCCTGTTTTCGTGGAGGAGCATGGATAAACAAATGAGTAATTGAGTATTTTCCCGATAATATCCTTGATCTAAACTCCTTTACTCCTTTCAGCCCTTTCCCTGCAGTTAAGATCGATCAATAGTGTTCAAGTGATCAATCGATATTGTTTAGGAAGTCAACTATGATTGTGTCGGTATATCGGTGGTCGATATGCGATACACACCCAAAGAGGTACGTCGTGATAGCGACAAAAAACAAGCGCTACTATCGATCGAGGACCCGTTGCTGATAAGTGAGTGTTTGTAGTGTGAATTGGCGAATTTTCTTTTTTTTTTATATTTTAATTTTGCGTTTTCTCGTATTGAAAGAGCTCCATTGGTTCTACGTTAGGATAATTGATTCGTCATCGCTGTTTTATTTCTTTCCCTCCTCTGGTTTCCGTCTTTCCACCTCAATGACCTTTGAAGTTTCTTGTCGAACTATACTCTTGGTTTCCTTCATTTTTGGGTTTTGATAATTTTATTTCTCTCTTTTTTCTTTTTTTTTTCATATATCTGAGCTGGTTTACGTTGGTCTTTTTTTTCATATTTTAGTTTGATGAATGCTGTCATGAAAGCAATCGTTTGCTGATAAGACGTTTCATCAGCTGATTGTCTTACTCTCTTCCCACTCTAGCCACCTCTTTCGGAAGAGGGTTACGTCAACCAGTTATCCTTTTTGTTGTTTTTGGGTTACTTTTTTGAAAATGGCAAAGAGGCAGGAAGTTAATGCTCTCAATGAAGTGTCTTGCATCAAAATTCAACTACAACTTATTACAAAATGAAGCCAGATACTCATAAATACGATTTGGTAACAAAACATGACCTTCAGGGGAATTCTGATTACCCCTTCGTCCTCTTTTCCATTTTTATCGACTTTACTAATCGTGTGAAGTCTAACACTTAGCTATCTGCTCCACATGGACTTGTACAGCACCCTGTTCACGGATAAAAATATTGGTTAAATGGAAGAATCTCCTGCCTGGAATCTCGTCCAAACACTCTTTCCGTCGTCACAACATCGTTTAACTTCAGAATATCGTCACAAAAAGTAGAACCTAGAAATAACTAGTTTGAGAAAGCTTTCTGCGAATGTTTTCGTTTCCTTTTCCTCTCATGTACTATTCTGAACGAACACTCTCGCCCAGTAACCCAGTAAATATGCATGCAACCACTGCGAACTGTGCTTTTGAGCAAGTTGTCCAACTATTTCGATTAGCCTACCATTGAGCTCTCCTGATTGTGTGGATTCCGCGCTCAACTGGAACGTCGAAGTCACCTGACAAGCGCGTGGATTTCTCGCTTAGCGAAAAACAAGACAAATTCACCGATGGCTACGATTTAGTCACCATTGCATCACTGTGATGTTGTTGAAGTCTGTGCGCATTTCATTCTCCTTACCGTATTCCATATTTGTTATTGCCAAAACAAACAGTGCTCAAACAGCTAATTGTGTGCATGTGGTCGCTCGTCAACTACGGACGTCATTCGGGTAGATTTTGGTTGGTTCCGGCTCAGTTTGTACTATCCAGACGCTAATCTATTCGCAGAGTTCTTTTGTATTCTGAAATCCTCCCGATTTTCGAGTGACTTAGTGTCGTTCGGGTAAAATCAATGGATTCGTGGTGGTACCTCAACAAATTTTCACGTTGGTTGGTCTTCCCCAATTGTAGTCAGGAACCCTTTACTCAGGTGCTCCCTCTCTTCCCCCGCCCCTTCTCCTAACAATCGGAAATTTCGTCAACTTTTATGGGCGCATGCGGCCCAAGCGTAGGTACCAGGCGACTGTTGTGTTTTTACTGCATCTTTACCTTCCAGCCAACTTTACCTGGTTGTTCCTTAAGTTGAGAAGGATTCATCTTGCCCATACTTCGGAAAACACGAGCAAGGGATTTGTGTCTCTTGCCGAATAACACCCAGCGTGTCACGGGATGGCAAAGATGTGTCATTTATCTGGAACAGATCTCTTCAGTCGAATTGAGGCCCAGCGGATGATGCAATCAGCTGATTTGTTCCTAGAAGGCCGTCGTGCACTTATGCCCATCTCTAACGATGGACATTAGTACACACGAAACCTGTCAATCCCAGAGGCTCTCCAATTCCAATGTTTACAAGAGGACATTTTCATGAAATAACCCCATAAAAGAAGTCCCGAACAGGGGTTGCCCTTACTTCGACCTTACATCGATCGAGCGGTCGTGGAGGACGTTATGGGTTCAGAAATAGGCGTAATCCAGTAGGTATTGGGCTATTGCCCCTGCCTCATTCTTTATTACCGGTGACGAATTCCCACGTGGCATGCTTGAAAGTTTTTTTCTTTTCGAACTTTTTCGGGTTTCGTCCTCTTTATAGCTTTCATCAGCCGGGAGGGTCTGTTCTCCACAAGCTTTCTCAAAGGCCAATAGTTTAGGAGGGGCTCCTGTTGTTTCTGTCTCTGGTGTTTCTTTTTCATGTGTTTAATTTCTGGCTGTTTTTGATTTTTAGGTTTTCATCCCCGAGTGCATCTAGTCCGCTCGGGACTACGCCCTTTTCTTAGTTCTGATAGATTTAGTAGATAAGAGTACGTGTAGTAAGAGCTTATGAGTAGAGGGTGCTTCATAATATGTAAGGGTGTGGACCCATTCCTATCAGGACGCCTAGTATTCGTGCCACCTTTACTAAGTACGAATTTTTCCGACAAGTTTAAAATTTTCGGGAGGAAGCTCAGTTGGTTCTTTGAAGGTCACCAAGGATCATCGCAGTTCTTGGTAAAATCGGATTTTTCTGTCTATCCTGAAGTTATTGGGTCTTCCCTTCCGTCGTGAAGTCATTGGTCATGGGAAAGTATCTTACCATGCTTTCATGAAGAATTGTGGCCTCTGACTCATCCAGCGGATTGCTTTCAGCTCTTCTGAAACGCAGCGATCGCTGTCACAAAAGGTTGGCTTTCGGGTAGCCTCCTCAAAGTACTGGGATTAGTGAAGCCGCGCGGAAGTTTTTTGTTGATCAGTTTGATTAAAATAGCAGTTAGTCTGGAAGATGAGTGGAGTAGAAAGGGTTGGAGGACATTCGCTGTACATAAACCACTTCAGGATTTTCTCCCTTGTAAATTAATTTCTTGCCTCGTTTATGGAAAACATGGTTATTGATTGCTAGACCAAGTTGCTGTTTGTAATTAACTCGAGTTCTCTCTTGAAAAAGGCTGTCACTGTTGCTAATGCTTCCGGTTATCCGTCATGTTTTGTCTGTGAAGTTTGGATGATGACGAACAGCAAAGATCCTTCTTGCGGATAGTGTTTAAACGTTTTCCTTTGACGTCAGAAAAGATACATTTCTCGATCGATCCTGATTCACGTTCTCGTTGAAAAACCGAGTGATACGGTAGTGTCACTCAAGAGGTGATGAGCTAAGTTCAAGTGTGTATAGAAAGGTATTCGGTGACGTCCAAGAAACGTATCCATGGCTGAACGAAAAAGACCGGAAGAAAGTAACCCAGTACCTCTAACAGTCAGCTGTCTCACCCTTCAATTTGTTGTTTGTTTTCGTCCTATACGCAAGGCTGCTGCGTATCCCTTCAAGGCTAATAATATACTTGAACTGCGGTGAGAGCTCTGCATCGTTTAGAGGTTCGGAAGAGTTAGGCAGGGCAGTAGAATGGGGCAAAGGGCAGCACTAATAATTCATCAACAATTTATAGCCAGCGAGCAGCCTTGTCATCTCTCCATGGTACGGCTCTACATCATTTTTGCTGTTTAAATTCTCAATTGATGAACAAGCCCTAACGTTCACTTTCCTCATAAACCCCGCCCTCGTCTGAGTCCCGCCCTCTACCTGTGTAACTATAGAGACAAAGATATTGTTATATCTTTATTATTTATATACAAAGATATAAGATACAACAATATAAGATATTGTTTTTCGTGGTGTTAATATGATCAAACGAGTAGATTAGACACTCGATTTTTCAGATGTTACCCACTCTTTTATCAAGTCGTAGAGAAGTCACTCAGAGAGCCTAGAGGAACTCTAAAAGCTCTGCTGACTTGGCGAGCCACTGTCTACTTCATAAAGATGTTCTTTCTCGTGTATGAAAGTCTTGTCGGCTTCCAAGTATGAAGTCTCGATGCTTTTCGTAGTTGAGGCCGGCAATTTTGGTCGTCCTTTCACTAGCGGATGAAGCTGTGACATTAGGTCCTTATTCCATTCGCATTACCGGGCCAGTATGAGCAGTCAATATTTCTCGAAGTGAGGAAAGGAACGTAAGTGAATCGAGAATAAGCATTTCTCAGGGCCTAGGTTAAAGAGGGTGAGCGAAATATCACTAGGCTGAGGAGGACCAAAGCCACAAGTAGCGCGCGGCAAATTCGCGCGACGAGTTTTCGGACCTATTTTTGGTTGCATAGGTTGCGTAGATAATTTTTCCTTCCCCTCTGAAGGTGACATTGTTGGTAAAGACCTGAGTTTCGCGGTGACTCACTCTTCGCTGAATAGTTCCTGGTAGTGTGCTTGGCTTCCCACTTTATGCTTCCCAACCACACTTTTTTCAACCCCTCGAAGTCGAGTTCTGCTGGAGGTAATTGCCTCCCTATAAACCGGCCCAAACCGTTTCCCTGAGGCTCCTTCCCATTTCCTTTTGTTCGGCTGTCTGAGAGGTTTTTATCGTGCCCCTTGTTCTCAGAAAAGTGTTTTTGGTTGTGAACCGTTTCCAAAAGAGTTCCTTCTCATTCCAATGACGTGACCTTACGGCAACAGCGTCGGTATTTTACCTATCTCTTATGCCTGCTCCGTCGATTCTTTCCTGATAGGGCCCCAGAAGAGCTCCACCCAGATACAATCTCCTCTTTAGCAACTGATTGGTTTATCCTATTAGGTACCTCGAGTAGCCCTTAAATTAGTGGCTGTCCAAGTGAATGTGAGCAATAGCAAAGAGTCATTTGGCTTAACATCAATAGATTGACGGGTGTTCCTTTCTCAAAGCTCATCAGACGGCTCCACCGCGATCGCGAAATGCCTATAAATTTGGGACCATGGTTTTCTTACTGCACCATCTCAGGTTCGGTACGAAATTTTTACTGAAATCTAGAAAAACTGTGCCGAAATAGTTTGTCTGAAAAAATCCGAGGAAGATCAATATCGGGAATTTTCAAAGAAATCGCATCATTCAGTTTTTTAATGTATAGCTAAGGAGAAGGAAAAAATCAGTCCCGACGGGTTCCTTCTGAGTGATGTTTTTACTTTCCAAGACGATATAACTCTAGTGAACCTACTGTCGTCA